CCAAACAGGTGGACTCTTGTTCCTGTGGCTCTCTGGCTGCCCCTGCATAGCTGACTGCTGTTCTCCACAGTGGCAGGGACTGTTGGGGCTGGCTCCCACAGGTAAGCCAGGGAGAATAGGAGGAGACACAGAGGGGAGGGGAAAAAGACAGTAGCACTGTAGGATAGCAAGAGTGTGGCCCACAATTTCTCCATCTCTCCACCTCTTGACTATACTTGGATTGTGAAAAACTGTTAGAATCATAGTGTTACAGGGCAACCCCAATAGGTAGATTTTTTTTTCACTTAGATTGTCTAATTGATAAGAATGCAGTATGTAGTAATAAAGTTGCTCTTTATTTGAGGTTATAAACCTAGTGAATGGTACAGTGGGAATGTGAGATCCTTTCTTTTGACTCCAGATCCAGTGTTTTATTGGTTATACAACTTCCAGTGGTTCATTCACTCACCAAATGCTTAGGTAGAAATTTTGTGTGTTATCAAAGGTAAATTCACAATGTCCTCAAATGTGGTAGTCAAGGAGGTACACGAACATTGGTAGCACTAAGATGTTGTTAAATAAGTGACTCAAAAGATTTAGATTCAGAAAGCAGATTTTTTTGCTCTTTTTATCACTTGTTTTTATTACAAAAGTAATGCTTATTCATTACTTTTAGCTATAGGTTTTTTTTTTAAGGTTTCAATATTCTAAAAAAGTGACAAAACAAACTACCCAAATCCCATCACCTAGAAACATTTCTTATGCCTATTTATATGTGTAATTTTTTTAAATGCAAAAAAAAAAAAGAGTAATTCTAAATGGAATTATTCTATTCTATTCTTTTATAACATGACTTAACCTGGAAAACCAGACTGGGAGAACTAGGGAAGGCAGATAGCTGTAAACACTTCCAGATCAGGCTCTAGCAGTCCTTGGGGATGAGTGAGCAAAAGTCAAGGGACTAAAGACTTAAGTAGAAAGGGACTTGAGTTAGGGAATCTGAATTTGAATGGTTGAGGATTAATGGCTCTTGAGTGGATGGCAAATTGCCAGAATGACTGGACATTTTTTTCTCTTCCTCTCAACCATGTTTTGTTTCAAGGATATTTTAATGGGAGAATTACCTGTGGGATCCAAAAGCCAATATGTGGCACTCCTGTTTCACTGAGGAATACTAATGAGCTAGAGGATATAGAGGCGAGGGTCCACATGGCATGAGATAGTCATGATCAGTTTGAGCTCAGATCCTCTTTTTGGAGGGAACCCTGGTGTTGAAAAAATAACAATAATGAATTGGAAGTTTAAAGTCTGATACGTAGCAATTAACTTTTTTTTTTTAAGGCCAACATCTTGGCCTTTCAGAAACTTTACTTTTTATTTGCTTCCTTGCTTTTACAGTTGGCTAATTAATGTAAAATGAAGCTCTTTATGAATTTTGAAGAGTTACATAATGTAATGTGGTATTTATACTGATGGTGAAAATGAGATTTTTGTTGTGTTTCAATTGCAGGGCTTTTTATATGGTGCCTAGAATGTCTCTTAAAATAATCTGTCTAAATATATGGAGCTTTAAAATTTAGTTTTTATGAAGAACATTTATTTCTCTTCATACATATACTTAGCCTTGGACCTTGAATATTGCTTTTGAAATCTAAAAACTAATGCATGGATAAATAGACTATTCTTGTAAGCATTAAAAAGAAGTAAAATGTGCATGTCTTCTTTTTAGAAGAAAAGCTTACTGGAAATTTTTGAGGGTTGGTATGTGGGAGATAATTTGTGCTTTACGTTATTTCTGGGAAAAAGATGTGTGTGACGTGAAATAGGTAGAATGGCTTTTTAATAGATGCTGCCCTTAAGGGATTTGACTTTGGACCTTTTTTTCTATTTTCCTCTGGGAATTGCTTCTAAATTCCACTGTTGCATTCTGTCATAACCTTGTGTAGCCTTACATTTACATTCTGTTAGCTATAGGTTTTCTTTTTTTAAGGTTTCAGTATGACCCTGTATGACTTTCGTCATCACCTTTTTGCCCCAGTTCTCTCTGGGTGCATGAATGGCACCCAGATATAGGTAGATATAGGTAGCTACACTGCTGTCCACACGTCTGTCTGAAACTCAGGTCCTTCAGAGGATGCTCTTTAAAATATCCTCAGGAGTGTTCTGACCCCTTTGTCACAATTGGGACCCTGTTTATTTAATCTCTCCAGCTTTGAATTTGGAAATAGAATCTTAAAAACATTAGTTATCTTTCATCTACCAATTTCTTCTTCCTCATTGTTCCTTTTTGGATCACTTGAAATAAGCCTTTTTACTTCTGAAGATAACTGACTTTAAATCTGGCTGCTTTGGGTGCTCTTTGATAGGTGCACTGCCTCGTGGTCAGTACTAACTGGTCTCTGTCTCTTTACCCTTAACCTGTGTTTGGTATGATCGCAGAGCTTCAGAAGGTGTGATGTCTCGCAGTTGTGGTGTTTGCTCAAGGTGTCACCTCAAGATTTCATATACTGATAATTTCTGTTTTTACAGATGGTTTAGCCCAACACCGCTTTAGGGGGAATACTTTAAATTATTTCTTCTTGATAAATGAAGATGAACCTTTTGGAGTTTTGTTACTCTGTTAAAATGCAGCGAGAAAGGTACTTGGTATTGTCATTTAGTTACGCAACAGATACTTAATAGCAAATGTGTGTTCAGCTTTACTTTTTTCTGTTGTCTAACACCTCTGCCTTTAAAAAACCTAGAAAGAGAGAGTAAACATGTGAAGACAGCATTACCCTGAACACTCTCAATTGGTGCCTCTTATCCTGGGAAACTTGGTTTTTTCCCTTTGTGTTGAACTCATTCCTTTTTATTCTTTAGGTCTTAGCTCCTAAATGTCATTTTCTTGGGTAGCTTTTTGATTCTTGAACTACATTTAGCAGTGTGCCCTGTATGTTCTTTTAGCTCCTTATATTGTTAGGGGGAAAAGGATGTCTTAAAGCTAATTTTATACAGGCTTTGTGGACTCCACCCCCACCCTAGGCCAAAGCCAAAGACACTGGGAACTCCAAATCCCATCACCACCAAAGGGAAGATGGCTGGGACCTGAGGGTGGGGTTAAGCAGCCAGGTTGGTATAAAGCCAGACACGTGGGCTTTGGAGGGGGTCCCCCATTTTGGCTCTCTGCCAGCTCGCAGCGTCTGGCCAGCTCTGAGAGTGCTTTTTGGGTTTCCAGGTCGGCGGATCGGGTAGGATGCATTAAAGACTTTATTTCCCTATTTTCTCCCTGAGTTGTACATTTTCCTTATTTCCTTTTCCCTTGTAAATAAACCTTTTATTAACCTTCTGTGTATGCCTGTAGTGGAGTATTGATAAGTCCCTTTTAAGCGCGCGGGTGAGGACCCACAGCCAGGCAACCCTTTCAATATCGGGGCTGCCCTATAACAATATGTCTACATTATCACTTGGGTAGTGCTGGTTTCAACATCTGACCTAAGAGTGAGTCAGCTCTGTGACAGCCAGAAGCACGTATGTTTTATCACTCTGTTTTAGTGTCTGGCATCTGGCAACCTCTCACATTTTCTTAAATTTATTTAAAGAGATCTTTTAACACTTTGGATATTTTATTTCATACTTTGCTGTGGGTCTGTGTACACATAAACACTTGTGTAAAGGCATTACATTAGAAGGTCACATGATGTGTAGGGATGGGGGTTTGACATTAACAAGTGGTTAGAAATTGTCCTTCTGTCTTCATGGTTTAGTACAGTAAGTCAGCAAAGGCAGTCTTTCCTTCCAATGTTTAGTGATTTAATTCTGCCTGCAGAAGTGGTATTGAATCTCTACACATAGGCATCCTAGATCCTCCTGGCAGACCTGTCCAGTAATCTTTCCTGATGTTTCCTCTCGTGTGCTGACTTCCTTGGAGTTACTCCTCTCTTTCGTGTGCTCTCTCAAGTTTACCTTATATTTTCTGGTTTCCATTCCTTTATTCCTGCAGTCTCTCCCCCTTGGGAGCACTTAGCTTTTCCTTTCTAACCATTTTCAAGGCCCATCTCAAATTCCATCTGCTATCACATATTTATATTTGTTTCTCTCTGGCTGACCCTCAGCTGTCTCTCACCTCTTGGTCTATGGCATTAATTGCTGTGGTTGTTGGCCTTTGACATGTACTAACCTACCATTTTGGGGCTGTTCTCTTGAATTGCTTGTTCTTGGGTGTGTTTGTCTTCTCTAGTCAGCTGGATTGTTAGGTCACTGAGGACGGGGCATGCATCTTGTACTTCCTTGTAGTCTTCCCAGTGTGTGGACAGAATTTCTTAGTAAGTAGTTTATTTGGTTACCCATCAAAATTTTGCCCCTCGTGTTTTATAGCACTGAAGTGAGTGCTTTTTTAGAACACTTTTCTCTGTATTCCTTAAAAAAATTTCCACAAGTAGCCAGTTCTGGTTTCTCTTACTCTTTGCCTATAATAGCTGACCTTGAGGTGTCAGGGAAGTCTGTGCCAGGTAGCACAAGAAGTCTGAGTAATTGTGGGTGTGTGGCGGTTCTCTTAGGTACCAACTTCTAATGGGGTAGTGTGAAATAAGATTTTACTAGATGAGGAAAGGAGACAGAAGTACATGGATTGGAGGCAAGCTTTTAACCAGAGTGGAGATTCATTTCCTATAACTGAATGACTTGATTTCCTTATTGTATTGGGTGCCATGTTTATTAAATGACTGATTTTATTACAATGCCTCAGTGGCTTGAATGGAAAACTGTTTCTGCTGAAGGTATAGAGCTGTTTAAGAAATTACTTTTAATTGGCTTGTGTCTTAGGCTCTAGGTTTTCTACTGTGGTTTAGCCTACAAGTTACTAGGAATTAATATTAGTGATAAAAATTTGATATATGGTGTTCAGAACCCTAGTTTTCTTTTGTCACAGAAACAAAAAGCTATTCTTAATATTTACTTAATCGGTGAGCTTGTTTCTGTGAAAATGTAAACTGCATATTGGGTTGCTGAGGTCTTGATATTTTTTGTTTTGTTTTATTTAGGTATAAAGAGGGTGGTGAAGCTTTATTAATTTTGCTTCCTTCAGAAGAAAAAGGGATGGTGCAGCAGCTTCTCCAGAAGAAAGTACCTGTGAAGGAAATCAAGTAAGAACTACTTGGTATTGGTTTTTGTTAGGAAAAAGAGGGCATGACATCATTAAAAATATATAATTTTCTGTTTTTTATTTTTTTCCAATCACAGTTGCATATTGTTTCAGGCTCAGGTGCACAGCTCTTTGACATTTGTATGTGTTGCAGTGTGATCACCGCTACAATCTAGTTTCTGTCCGCTGCCATGTAGTTGAAGATTGTTACCCCTTTCGCCCACTCTCTGTTCCCCCTGCTGCTTTAGTTATCACTGATTATTGTTAGAGTCTAAGCTTTTTTTTAAATTTACGCATTTTTAAAAATTTACCTTTTGTTTTTGTCCACAGATGACAAAAGTCAAACAGTATTTGACTTTCTCTACTTGACTTAGTTCATTAGCTTAATCTCTCAAATTCCATTCATATTGTCAGGCAGATATTTTCAAATGAGTGTTATTATATTCTCTAGCTAAATCCCAGAAGTGGAATAGCTGGATCATGTGGTATTTCTACATTTTTTGAGAAATGACCTGTTTTCCATAGTGGTTGCAACAATTTACATTCCCACCAACAGTGTACAAGGAGGCACCACATCTCACCAATACTTGTTTTTTGTAGTCTTTTAGAAAATAGCCATTCTCACAGGTGTAAGGTGATACCTCATTGTTTTGATTTGCATTTCCCGGATGGTAAGTGATGGTGAACATCTTGTGTCTGTTGGCCATCTGTATGTCTAGATATTCTGTCTATATACTGAGTTTTCTGCCTAAGTCTCTTTTGAATTATGAAATCTCTATTTACATTCTCTGCCCATTTTTAAATTAGGTTGTTATTTTTTTAAGGTATATGAATTGTTCAAACCATGACATTATGCTTGTTTATGTACCTCTAAATCCCTACTTCCTCTGATCTGTTCAGCTGTGTGGTTTGTGACTTATTTTTTTAAACTTTCCTAACTTTACCAGAAGACTTCTAGCAGAGAAAGTAAGATGAAAACGAGAGCTTGTTAGCTTCAGGAAGCATTGATGGGTGAAAAGATTAAGCCTCTTGAATGAAACTATTTTTAGGGTTGCCTGTCCATTTGAGAATTAAGCTCTCCTGCCATTGAGAATATTAAGGTTGAGTGTTAGCAGAATTGATGAGGGTCTCTCTTGTATTGGAACCCTTGAAATACCCCGACTTGATTTTCCTGAAGATAATTGGGAAGAGTGGGTAAGGGTTTAAATGAAAAAAGTTTGGCCATTAATTGACTGTAGGTGAGGCTACAAAAAGATACGTTAGTATCTTTTGAAGTTTTCTGTAGCTGAAAAACAAAAATAAATATCCCACCCACCACCACCTATCACTACTCTAGCTTTGCAGGAACAGAAGGTTGAGTCTGAAAGCAGGGGAACAAATGGGATTTCTTTTGTGAAACCTAGGGCCTTGTAAGAATTTCATTCTTGCTTACAGCCTACCTGGGCAGAGTTAAGTAGTAATTCTGTTATGCTTATTTTTTAGATAAAGAAAGTAATATATATGTCCCTTGGCTATTTGTCTATTATTTGAAATGGTTTTATGATATTTAACTGCAAATGAAAATTCCTTTAAAAATGACATTAAGTTTCATTATGATCCATCTCCCAGGAGGGCTACTTTCTACGTTTTTAGACTTGGGCAGAAACCAATGCTAATTGTCATGTTAACCTAAATATCTTTCACTCACTCAGCATGCAGTGTTTAGAGAAAATGTCTGATCTTTCATTTCTTTCCCTGCATTATTCATACGCAAGAGAGTCAAATTTATGTCTTGTGTGATTTCAGTCTAATTTGGCTCATAGATGATAAATGATGTAATAGATTTAAAAATAATACTGAGAAAATAGAATGCTGTATACTATTTTCAGTGTCTAAAACTGAGATGTCTTAGTTTTAACCTTTATCTTCTTGTTATAAAGAATCAATCCAGAAAAACTTATAGACGTCCAGAAAAAATTGGAATCATTTTTAGCTCAAGATCAAGATTTAAAAGAACGAGCTCAAAGGGTAAGTCATTTTTCAATTGGATGCCTTTATTGGAATGCAGCATGTAATAAACTTAAATTTTATCATTGTCTGTTACTTCTCAATGCCATGGTTATGCTTCAAATATTCAAATAGTATAATTTTCAGATAAGTTTATTTTACATACATTTAAAAAAGTTACATAGCATTATGACATATATAATTGGAAACATTGAAAAGATATCTGTTGTCCATAGTGTCAGACATATGGAAAAGTCCTTTCAAATATTAAGTGCACAGTGATCTGTTTTCTACTATACTTGATAAAGTTATTAACTTTTGATTGCTTCAATAAAGTCTGTAACTCCACTTTATTTTACTCTTAGATCTTCTTTTAGGTTAAATTTCTAGAAAGCATAGAACCTTTTGTAAATTGTCTTTAGGGATGAAATTTTGATCTATAAATATGACTTAATATTTCCCAATTACTTTCCTGGACTTGGAAACTCTCTTGATTAGCAAATACACGAAGACATGTTACTTTTGGGTAAACTTACCATTTCAGTTCTTGGTAGGTTCTTTTGAGAAGGAAGATGTGGAATTTTTTTGGATTGTGTTTAGAACTATCCAATTTTTGACTTGAGAAATATTTGCATGCATGTCATGAAGCGCTTTATTTTCATCAGTCTTTTATTTATATTGTGGTTACAAGTTCAACAAAACACATCTGTCTACATTGTGTCTCCCATAGTGCATCAGCAGTGACTTGGGGGGGGTGGCTTAGAGAATAGATTGCATTTCACTAGATGGAAGGACTAGGAAGAAGAACAGAGAGGAGCTAGAGAGAGGGCTTCCTGAATAGACAGAGGCGCCAGAGCAGAAAGAGTCAGTACTTATGCATTTATGTTGTGATTTTGAAGTGGATATCCTCAGCAAAGGTTTATTTAAATAAAACTTCAGTTATATCAAATTATCATTTCTGTGCTTAAAATAACATTAAGAATGAAAACGAAAATTTGAGTGCTTACTATTCGTACTTGGCATTTAGCCCATGATGTGCCTTTAGTCCATGACAGTTTGATATGAGTCATGTTATTTAATCTTCTTCAACCCATGAGGTAGGTGATCATTACTTTATATTATAGATGAGTATGTAGTAGCTTAAGAAAGTTTACAGTTGTCCGGGTCGCATGACCATTAAGCAGCAGACTTGAGATTCATATCCAGGTCTGATTTTTCAGAACTGTCATGTTAGATCAATAGAAATTAAATTCAAAATAGAAGATGACTAATTAGTGAACTATGCAAAATTACAAAATTGGACTTGTATAAGTTCACTTCACCTGAAATCTAAAGAAAAGGAACTTTAAACAAATTGATAATTTTTTTTTTCTTTTAGAATTTTTTCAGCATGTATTTGGGCATGCAAACATTTGCATGTATGTTGTGTCTAGCAGATACACTTCAAGTTAGGAGTTGAATCTCTTAGAAGCTTTGGAAATAGTATGTACCTTTAAAAATCGACTTGAATTCTGATATGTTGTGACTTACTGTATAGCTGGGAGGTCATGCAATCATTAATCAGGAAAGATGAAATATTGAAAGAATGTTGTTATGCTGGCCCTTTGAATACATCAAATGAGTCTCCCGGAACAAAGATTATAGGACAGCACATTGAAATAAATGATGTGATTTATTGGGTGTCACGCATGGTTTAGCAGAATGGCTAGCTAGCTGTGTTGCCAGCAGCAGCAAGCTATCTAGTTTCATAAAAGTGATTTTCTAGTTTTTGATTATAATCTGGATAGAACAAAATGATAAGCAACTGAGGTGATTTCTTGTGGACCTTTGAAGGGGAAAAAATTACTTTTGAGATGGAGCCATGCATTGTTTTTGATACCTCTGGAGATGGGGAAAGGAGTGAAGAAAGTATTAGTTAAAATTAGAGAACGTGTGTGAAGTTTAGGAAATATGGGAAATAAGAACTAAATATACACTACAAAGTATAATTAAACATTTGCTTCTATGTGCTTCATCATTTTTGTTGTCTGATATTATTTTATAAACTGACCAAGAATTAGGACCATGTTTCAATTTTGGTTCGTATCATTCTTGGCATAAAGGTAGGTTTTTTTTTTTTTTTTTTTTAAATACAAACAGAACAAATATATTAAAAGTTGATGACATTGGGCCTCCCCGGTGGCGCAGCGGTTGAGCGCTGGGTTGCGAAGCTGCCCGCCGCCTCTGCTGCGCTGGTTCGATCCCCGGCTGCTCCCCGGCCACTGGAGGAGGGTCCCACATGGCGCGCAGACCTCTCCTGCCGCCCGCTGCTCCCCTCAGCAGTGTACTTCGGTCCTTCTGCCTGTTCTCTCCCCGCTCTGGCTCTGGTGAATTCTCTCACCCTCCCGCGCTTCTGACTGTACCCAGTGCATGTATAAATAAACAAACAAACAAACAAACAAATAAAAATAAAACATGCCTCTATAAAAAAAAAAAAAAAAAAAAAAAAAAAAAAAAAGTTGATGACATTTAGTTGAAATTATAATGATGAATTACTTCAGATTATAATAGAAAAGGAAAAGCTTTAAGTGTAAACTTTTCTTGATGTGATTTTAAGGTTCGTTTAATTAAATACAGTAAGACTTTATATTATTAGAAAACTTATCATTTGACTACTAAAATGATAATTTTTAATGTCTAGTTTTTATTGGAATTTACTGTATTCCAGAAGATATGCCAGGTATTCTACATGCATTATATCATTTAATTCTCATAACACTTAGTAGAAATTGTTACTATCTCCGTTCAATAGAGAAGCAAGTAACTTGCTCAGCTAGTAAAATACGTACTCACATTATCATCTGCATTATTCTAAACCCCATGTTTTCCCATTGTACTGTGTTACAACTAAATGGTATTAACTTCTAGAATAGCTATTTTAAGAAGGTGATATTCTGTGATGAATTGGAAACCAAATTTAAAGTTTCTGATATTATAATTGTAAAAATGTAGGCTCTTTTTTTTCTTTTTGTGGAAGAGATTTGCTCAGCTATCTTGAGGTTTTTCACTACTGCTGAATCCATTTTGATTAATTTTCTTTTATGTATGTTTAAATTCACTTTCCATTTCTGACTACCTATGTCATATATTTAAACCTTTTATTTTTACAGTGCTTTGTTTCCTACATACGTTCTGTGTATCTGATGAAGGATAAAGAAGTATTTAATGTGAGCAAGTTATCTATGCCTGAATATGCTCAGTAAGTATTGATATTGTGGTTGGATTTGTGTAATTTGTGAATCTTCAAGAGGGAATTTATCTCAAATCTGGGTCTGAGAGCCCTACTTTAAGCCATTCTGTCTTTAAAGGCCTGCAGATAAAATGATTTTATAAAGTATAAAGAACTAGTTGAGTGTGTTTAGTTTTTGTTGTCAGGAAGAAGTTTCTTACACACATTCCTTAAAGTTTCACTGGCAGTAATTTGGCTTTAAAGGAAATGGAGAAGAGTTGATAAGCATTCTTTGAAATCTTTTAAATAGTCTGTATTCCTCTTGCTCTCTGAAATGTTGGCCAGTTACCACAGACAAGTCTTTTTATGCTTTGAATGCTAGTTTCTTTTGTCAGTTCTTCCCTTATTTTAGATTGGTTCCCATACTGCTTACTGCCTGTTGTTCTTTGTGTCTTCTTGGTGTTTTTTTGCAGGTACTCACATTTTCCATGGCAAAATGTCCCTGTTTGGTAACTAGGTTACTATTACATGAAAATGGAACTCTTGCTCTTGTGTTAACTTAGTAATTTTAGGATTTTTTTTTTATAACCTTTTCAGCTATAAAGTAGGAGTGCCCATTAAATTTTTTTCTTTAAATTTTCATTTAAAATTTTTTAAATAATCTTTTTATTTTATATGTATTTTACATCGTTCTTCCTTTTTGTACAATGCATGCTTTGTCCTCTCACTTAGATATAGTACCTGTAAAATTCCCACCATCACTTCTCCCATGCACCATCACCATAGTTCCTTGTGTAAGAACACATTCCCTCCCCTGTTTTGATCCCTCTCCTTACCCCTCCCCTGCAAAGTATCTCTCATTAATAGTTAAGTGTTAATTTTGATTATAATTTATTATAATTATTTTTTTTCCTGGTCCCTTATTTGGTTCCCCTACATTCCTCCTTATAAGTGAAACCATCCTATATATTTTTTTCCTTTTGGCTTATTTCACATCTTTATCTGCTCATCTGTCATTGGGCACTAAGGTTGTTTTCATATCTTGACTATTGAAAATAGTGCTTTATTGAATATAAAGGTACATATACCTCTTTGAATTAATGTTTTTGTATTCCTTAGGTATATACCCAGAAATAGGATCGTTGGTTATACTGCATTTTCATCTTGAGGATGCTGCATACTGTTTTCAGTAGTGACTATGGCAGGCTACATCCTCCCCAGCAATGTACAAGGCTTTCCTTTTTTCCACACTCTCTGCCAACACCGTGTTTCTTGTCTTTTTGATATACCATTGGAGGAGTATCTCTGGGTCCTACCTGTTGGACAAGTATTGACAAAATCCTATAAAAGCATTCTTGATGTTAATCATACTTAAAGTGTTGGCATGAAATTTCCTAATCTGTGATGAAATATGTGTTTTCAAAGCAAGGTCTTTGGTTTGCTCTCCAGGAATTTGAGCACTTTTATCTTTATTTCAATTGAGTGTAATAACATGTATCTGGGTGAGCTGCTGTTTTCTATTCTTTGTGTTGATTTGTGAGTTTAGTATTACAGGTGGTTTATCAGTTGTAACATTTAGAACTCTTTAAATTGTTAGATGAAAGAGTAAGACCACCGTCTGTTGAGATAATAGATAGAAAACCACATACCTTGGATAATACATTTTCGGTGCTTGTCTGTTTATGTTACAGTCTCTAATGTTTCCACTTCTGAATACAATTCAAGATTGAGGTTCTTCACTGATTTTTGTGTTCCACGTGAAGTTCTATCCTGTATTACCATACAGGAGAGGCACAGGTTATCATCATCGGTAGGGGCATTTTGTTGCCAAAAATTTCAGTCTTACTTGTTTACTGTTCAAGACCTTTGCTTTTTATTTGTGAAGTTCTGGGAAGGCAGAAAAAGGTGTTCAGTGTTTTTTGGATTGCCTTTTGGATCATCCAGCCTATCAAGATTGAGTTGTATCTCTGAGGAACATTTTCTTTACAGAATAGCTCCAGGAATAGATCTCAGCTCTTGAGTAACTGTTTCATGATGCCCATAAACAATCAGAGTATTGTGATAATTATTTCCATTTTCCCATTTTAAGGTCTCTTGGTCTTGCTGTGGCACCACGGGTAAGGTTTCTTCAGAAAATGCAAAAACAACCCATCAAGGTAGTTAACCAACATAATGAAGTAACTGAGCCAAGGGCTCCCTCCCTCACCAGTGACGAAGTGGAAGAATTTAGAGCCTACTTCAATGAGAAGATGTCTATCTTTCAGAAAGGTGGCAAACGACCAGAAGGGCCTGAGTACAGACCAACTAGTGATGTCAGTGATGAAGAGGAAGAAGAGGATGAAGATGTAGAAGGAAAAATGAAAGAGAAACTAGGCGTGCAACCTCAGCCTGTTCCTAACACTAAGGAAGCACAGAAGCTCAAGGAAGTTCCTGTGCAATTCTTGGACAGAGATGAAGAGGAGGAAGATGGACTTGATGCCGATTTCTTTAAGGTGAAGCGACACAATGTGTTTGGGTTGGACCTTAAAGAGAATAAAGCGATGCAGGTAAGTTTACTCCTGATGCAGTTCTCTTGTTACTTCTCACCACTTCTTTGACTGCGTGTTGCCTTGGAGGATCTGTGAGGAATTAGGAACTATAAGAAATTTGTAGAATAGCTCTCTTTGCCATGAACTCTTCCCTCTTCCCCGTAGTTAAACATGGAGTAGGTGCCCAAGAATTCTAACCCCACTGTGATCTTGTCATTTACTGTTTTTTTGATGGTTTTAGAAGTAACCAAAGTCATGATTTTAACCTAAAGGAAGATGGGGAGATTTCCAAGTTTTCTGGTGTGAGGATCCTTTATTGTGATTCTTAACATACTACTTTCTGACTTGTTACAAATGTTCCTTACAACAGTTTCATCTCTCTAAACATGAATTTTATTTTAATGAGACATTTGCTTTTGGGCACCAATCCAGTATCCTAAAAAGAAGGCCACCTGTGGAAAGTTTCATGTAGGTCTTTTGTTTCTCTGTATGTTCCCCGTAGGAGGAACAAAAGACAATGCAGATAAAGCACCTGTTGGCTGGGGTATTTGAAGGTGCACACTAAATAGTTTTCCTTCCCCTATATTCCCCTTTCTATTTTGTATGCCTATATTCTCGATGATTGTGACAGAGACTTGAATGAAAAAATGAAGTTGAGCCCTTTTTATAAAATGCAAAATAAAATTCTAAGACTCACGGTAGGAAATATTGAAAGATGAAACTTGGAAAGGTGTTTCTTTAAGTAAACCAATAAGAAGTGTTAAAAAGATAGCAGACATACTTAATATGTATTAGACATTTTATAAAATATTATCTCATTCAGTTCTTCAATAACTCTGTGCATAGCAATTACTGGCAAGGTTGGAATTTGAATCTTGACATCTTGATATTAGTATTCATGTTCTTGACCAAGAATCCTGTATTCTCCCATTGTGCTTCAGATTGAGCTATTTTCAGTCTGCATTTAAGTCTCAATTTTTATCAAGTGAAATAAGGACAAGAAATGATTAGTTCATTAGAAAGAAATTATCTTGTGTACCCTTTTTTTTGAACATGTAAATGTAATTAGAGTTAAGATTATAAAGGAATGATTTTATAATTTTGTAATAGCTCATGATTTGTTCACAAAAATAGGGCTTATGTCTTGTGTTAATGGCTCAGGTTGCATATGAAAATATGTAGTAAAGCTTTTTTTTTTAAGCTTGCTAAAGTCAGGTTGAGATATACTGATGTACAGTAAAATTAACATTTTGGAAACATTCAACTTGAGTTTTGACAAATGTATGTTGTGTAATCACCATCACAGTCGAGAGTGAAGGGTTCCATCACCCCGTAACAGTCTCTTGTGCCCTTTTGCAGTCAATTATTTCTCCTGGCAATAGGCTATCTGATTTCTCACATCCTGATAGTTTTGCATTTTTCAGGATAACAGATGGAGACATAAATATGTAGCCTTTAGTTTGGTTCTTTTACTTAGCATAATGTTATTGGATGTAGCAGTAGTTTGTTTCTTTTCATTACTGAGAAGTATTTCATTATATACATACACCATAGAGCTTAAAAATAGGCTTTGGGTTATTTCCTTTTTTCCGTAGTTATGACAAAAGCCATTATAAACATTCACATATGGGATTTTGTGTGCATACTTTTTCTGTTTCTCTGGAGTGATTATCTAAGATTGGGGTTGCTGGTAAGTGTGTATTTAAGTTTACAAGAAACTACCCAGTTTTCCAAATTGTAAGTTTCATTTTTTGTTTCTTTAGGCAGTACATCGGAGTTCATTTGTTTCTTGCTGCACTTGTTATTGTCAGTCTTTTAAATTTTAGCCATTCTAGTGGATAGATAGAGGTATCTCACTTTAGTTTTAATATTTATTTCCCTAGTGGTAGTGGTGATAAGCATTTCTTTACATGCTGATTTGCTATCCATATGACTTTTTTGGTGAAATGTCTGTTCACATCATTTGCCACTAGCCTCCATTCTGTGCCCCCTTAATTGTGTTACTTGCCATCGTACAGAGTTGTAAGAATTTTTTATATATTCTGTCTGTATACACATCCTTTATCAGCTACAGATTTGTAATTATTTCCTGTGAATCTGCAGCTTATGATTTTATGTTCTTAAAAATATTCCAGAAAGCAAAGATTTTAAATTCTGAATTTTAAATTTCACTTTTTCTTTTATAATTAATATATGTTTTGTGTTAAATCTTTGATAAATCTGAAGTCACAAAGATTTTCTGTTATGTTTTCTTCTACAGGTTTTATAGTTTTAACATTTAGGGGTCATATTCATTTCAATGTAACTTTCATTGTCTATGGTGTGAAGTAAGGGTCAGAGGTGTTTATTTTTTTTTAAACATTCTTGTCTATTTTTTTTTTTCACTATATAGGATTTTCTCCCTAAGGTATGGTCACCATAGTTTTCCTGCCACCAAAGTGTCCACAGTCCTCCATCACCTTCCACAGTGCCCGCCTGCACCCCCACCCCTCTTCTTCTTTTTCTTGTGAAGATTTTGATTTCTTCCCTGTTAATTTATAATTTTGTTACTGTCTTGGCCTGTAATGTGTTTTTTATAGCCCTGGTTATACAAAATTGTCTGCCTTCCCTAGTAGATTCTGAATTTCTTGAAATTGTCTACCAGTCTTTGTTCAGTGTCTAGCTCCTAATGCAGAATTCACAAATATTTTAAGAGTGAGTGAATTACAGAATTTCTTATATAGCCTTTCACTTTAAGGGTTTTGTTTGCTCTGAATCATACAGGGTATATATATAGGGTTTACTCCTAAAAAGCTGTATTTTGAAGCTATGTAAGATTTACCTGATTGACTTAAAAGGTATTGTTGAACTTTCTGTAAGTATGAGCACAAAGAACTTACTTGACTCTAAATGATAAACCTGTGCAGGCCAAGCTTTATAGCTTAGATAGCAAATGAAAGTATCTAAGTAATGATGTAAAAATCTGTTAACTAAGAATACATTTGCATAGTATACTATTAAAACTTTTGTCTTTAAAGTACATACATGATATTTTTTTCCTATAATGAGTTGGAACTATTCTAGCATGTGTCATGTGAGGAGCATTTGGGGCAGTTTGTAGGATTTGGAGGTACTAATAAAAATGTTTTTGTTTTTTTCTGTGTTTGTGTTCCCTAGTATTGTAAAGAGAGTTACATTTAATCTTCCTTTAGCTGAAATAGAAAGGCTTATTACTGACTTACTTTTTTGCTTTATCTAGTCTTGCCAACATTACCAGTCATCTCCCTTTGAATTATCTAAAAATCGGTACTTATTTACACTCAAATTATAGATTCTTCATGTTTTCAAAGCATTTGGTTTTGAGTGTGCTTTTTGTATCCACAGTCTCCATCGACTTCCTATTTTAGCCTTTGTTCTTGCAGTTTATATTTTAGTACTGTATTGCAGCCATCACTGGAGGCTGCTGTTTTCCTTTATCATCTGTTTTTAAGGACAGACCTGATAAAGAAAACCAAACAAACCGCATTCCAAATAGGAAGTAATACTATTCTTACACATATCAGTGAACATCTTCCCCTTGGGAGACTATGTGCTTTTTCAGGCACTGCTGCTTTTGTGCAAATATTTTCGGTGCTCCTGTTTTAGAATGGTCTTTAGGGACAACATATTAGATACACAAGGCGCAGGTTTCTTTACTTACATCATAGACTGTTCTGGCTTGATTATCTTTTTCTTCCTTTCTTGCCCCCTTGGAAAAGATTTGTAGAACTCAGTTGAGACTTGAAGCTAGTGGGAGCACATTGGAATGTCGATTACATGAGATTTGTTCAGTAATCATTAACATTGATAAGACATTTGGTGTGTTACCATATAACAAATGCTTTCCTTGTAAGTTGCATTTTATCCTTACCTCAGGGAAGACAGATGATGTTTTTTAAAAAAATGTGTAGAGGCTTTTAAATGACTTGTCTAGGGTCTCAGGATTGGACTTAGTACTCAAACCTCTGTACTTAGTACTTACCTCTGATGCCAAATCACCTTCTTTATGCTTTTTTTTTTTTGGGCTGTCTAACAGCATTTCTGTGCGATTTACTGTCTGTAAATAGGTAATATCAGTGTCATTGACAACACTGTAAGTCATTGTGTTCTACCCATTGTGTTCAGACACTTGGAAAACTTAACCAATTTTGTATTCTTTTTTAGACCTGGGTATGAATGGAGAAGAAAGGTAGTTTGTGCTAGGTGCAAGCAATGTCATCTGGAAGTCTGCCTTGTCACAGTTCTTTTCTATTTGACAGGATCCAGACATTGCCAAAAATAGACTTCCTTAGCACTGGGATGGAAATCCTGAGGGATGGAGCAGAAAGAGACGGGTGAGAGAGAGCATGGCTGGAGTGATTGGGCACAGGGAAGAGATTTTTGTTTGGGCCCTCTGTTGGCTTTTGGGTGTCTAGGAAGTTTGGCCTCTAGGGAAATAGTGTTAGCAAAGAGCCTGAATATAATTGAAATGATTATATTGAAAAGAATTTAAAAACATTTTCTTTAGTATATGTGCTGCCGAAGCAAACACTAAAAACATTTTCTTAAATAGGAGAAATTTAAGTATATACTTTTGTCTTTCCCTGTTTAGAAATGAAATTGAAAGGTGGGTTTAATTTTAGTTTACCAAGTATCCTTTTAAAAACTTTTTTAACAGTAAACATAGCTCAGTTTTAATCTGTATTGGAATGATACTCAGATTGTTCTTTGTACCTTAGAATTGATTATCTTGAGTCTTACATTTTTTAACAAAAATTCGTAGTGTTGCAAGAAATTACCATCGGTGGTAAAGCATAGGTGAGGTAATTTCAATATAAGTATCATAAAAATTTCTGAGTTCCAAATCAATATTCATATACACGGGAAATGGGATTTCCGTACCTCCTCTCTCTTACCCTTTTCCTTCTCTGCCCCTTTCTCTCTCTTTTTTTTTTTTTTTTTGAGTGGAAGGAATTATTGAGTCCCTGTGGGGTGTGAGGGAATGTGCTACTGAGTGAGTT